GCTAGGTGGGGGCGATGCCTGAGGAGGGTAATGATGATCGTATCCCGTTATTTGAGCCTGTGTGGCGTTATGCTGAGCGAGAGCGGTTGTTTCTTCTGCAGGACTCCACGGGGAAGTGAACACTGGCCCAGAGAGCGTAAAACATTTCTTAACTTGGTTCATGTGGACGCGCTTTGGTGGGGACTGAGGAGAAGTAATACTGGTTATAGTGAGATGGGGGTGGTCAACCGAAATGACCCGAAACTGACCCAACCAAGGAAAACATAGTTTGGGTGAAAGCCCGATCTTGGGGGCGAAGTCCCGCAGGTAGACGCGATCGCCTACTGAGATGTGTAACGGGGGCAAGCCAGACTTATCATATTGCTTCTTGAATAAGGCGCTTTGTTTAGCGTTAAACGCAGCTGCTAAGGTCCAAGCGGAGTGTAGAGCGGAGACAAGGGATTCTTTGTAGATACTGGCGTCCGTATCGGTGGGAATATGTTGAAACACCTTATGCTTAAGCATGAGATCAATATTGAAAATAGGGTCTCGTCCAAATAGTAAGAAAAAAGGCGTCTCATTAGTACTGGAGTGAATGCTGGTATTGTAAGAAAAAACACAAGCTGGAAGGAAGACATCCCAGTCGAGCTGGTTGTCACTGATATATGTACGTAACATAGCCTGGAATGTCGCAAATACTCGTTCACATACCCCGTTGCCCTCATGGTGATAAGGGGTACAAAAGTAACGGTTGATGCGCAATAATTTTCCGAGTTCAGACATGAGATCTCCTTTGAGGTAAGAAGCGTTATCCGAGATCAGTTCTGTCATTGCGCCATATTTCAATATGCACTCGTTCATGAGGGTACGGGCAACCACAGGGGCAGTACAGTCGGGCAACGGAGCAGCGATAACGTACTTTGAGAAGTGATCAATGAGGCACATGATATACTTGTTAGAGGCAGCAGAGGAATGGTACGGGCCGCTCAAATCCAGATAAACCTTATGAAAAACGGCGGCCGCGTGAACCGGTAGAAGTAGCTCCCGATTCGCTGGGTGTACTCGCTTCCTCTGACAAGCATCGCATGATCGCACAAATCGAAATATATCTTCTTTCATAGTTGGCCAAAAGAACTTGCGAGCAATTTTGCCTAGAGTCTTTTTCCAATTAAAGTGCCCGCCAGCGGCAGGGCTATCGTGAAAAGCAATACAAACTGGCTCGCGAAGTTTAGTAGGAAGAAAAAGAGCTTCGTACTTGCGTCCTGATCGTTGGCACAACTTATACAAACAGCCGTTCTTACGGATCGTACACGAGTCGGCGATGTCCAGAGCATTGGCCTTGTCGGCGTCCGAGGTGGAAGATGGAAAGGCACCCGTTTCTAAAAAGTGCATTAAAATACTACAGAATGGGTCTTGTTTCTGTTCAAGCAATACGTCATAAGGACGGATGCGAAGAGGGGGTAATTCGGGATGTTGAGCAAGGCACACAGG